TCTCTCTCTCTCTCTCTCTCCCTCTCCCTCCCTCTCTCTCATGTGCAGAGTTCACTTCATGGTGCTACAGTTGCCATGGATTAGAGATGATCCGTTGCCCCCTGAAAGCTGCCCGCTCCGTCCCCTCCAGGAGCCTCTGGCTGACCCCGGGCAGGGCGGGCAAAGGGGAGGCTCTCCTTCTTTGGTTCTCCTCCGAGCCCTGGCTGGGCCCGGCCGGGAGACGCCGTGACAGATTGCCACAGCTGCTGGCACACTTGCGCGGAGCCGTCAACCTCAAGTGCATCCTCTCTAATGGAGCAGGGAAAGAAATGAACTTGGCAGCCCGGGCGGCTGGTGGCAGGTGCCTCTGTTTAGATGTGGCAGCTGCTCTCGCTTTCTCTCCCCAAAGTCACCCCGCATTTCTCCTGCTCTGCCCCGGCTAGGCCAACCCCAAGTGATCTTCTGGGAGGGCCACAACGGGCAGAGGGGGAGCCCCCTTTGGCCAGATCGACCAGAGGGCAGACTTTCTCAGAGCAGCTGGAAGCAGCTGGCTGGGGAATTGTGCGGGGCCTCCAGTGTTGTTGGCCTCATGCGTTATTTGTGGCATTAAATGCCGTGCATTTTCAAAGTTCCTCACCGCACACATTTAATTTAAAGGCTAAACAGCTCATAAAACTGCGACATCCAGCCCAACGTAAATTCGCAGCGCAACCCACAGCCAGCCCAGAATTCCACAGGGAAGTTTCGGAATGGAAAGGTGGGGATGATCTCAGGGGATCCCGTGTGGAGGTTAAGCCTGGGGCCGTCTGTGTGGCCCGGGGCATAGAACAATGAGCGAGCGGGGAGGCCATGAAACACGGCTTAGCGTTATGTGTGACGCAGGTCCCCGTGGCTTGTTGAACAATCCAGGATTCAGCTCAAGAGGGGGATCCATTTTGAGCTATTTAAGAGAAGCATTACTGGATATGGGGAAAAGGGAGATGGAAGTGAACCAGTGTTGTTGTTCAACCAGATGCTGCCACCTAGGACCTAATTTTTCTGCAGGGAGGGGTGGAGGGGATGGAGTGGGGGTGGGATGGCATGTGACCTTTAGGCTGGACTGGGGAGCCAACACCATGTGATTGGCATCACATGCCCTCTGCTCCTAACAGGGTGGATTATGAAGGCGCCGTTATGGTTTATTCAATCCTGGTAAGCCATGTTTCATGTTGGTTTGTGAGAACTCAGCCACTGAGCTGCAGGAGTCCAAATCAGGAGTGGCAAAAGCCGGGGAATTATGCCTCAGCTCAGCTAGCCTTTCTCTGGGCACCATGATGCCATCGTGGCTATTTTAGAAATTGCCGTATTTGCCTGACGGTGATGGTGCTACGCAACCATCCTGTCCCTTCTGCTCCCCAGGTGCCTCCACCAGTTTTGTCTCTCAGGGGGTTGGTCTCGACAGCCACACCTGTCTCGGCTCTGATTCCCAAGCCTTCTCGTGGGGGGGGGGCGCTCTCAGCAGGTGGCGGCACCAGCCCAGTCTCTTCGGCTGCCCAGATGTCCGTCCGTCTCTGGCCGCAGCTTCAGGCCTGGTTGCTCACACCTTCCCTCCCCTTCTCGCTTCCCCCTTGCAGGCAGCACAGAGAATCAGGCAGCCAGGATGCCCGACTCGCCGGCTGACGTGAAGACGCAGTCCCGCTCCACACCCCCGAACATGCCCCCACCATCACCAGCGGTCTCCCAGGGAGCCACGCGGCACCCCACCTTCACCTCAAACCCCAGTGAGTACCCGCTTTGTCCCTCGGGGCTGAGTAATGGGGAGGTGGGGGAGAGAGATCTGCTGAAGGAGGCGTGGGGGGGGGGGTTCCCTCCCTCCCAATGTTTCTGGGGTTCTGCTGCTTATTGTTTGAGTTTGACAGAATTAAAGGGACACCCTCAAAGTAGAATGGAATGCTTTGACTGGGGGGGTGGGGTGTGGAGTTCCCCCCCACCCTGGATTCTGCTGCACTGCTTTGACAGAAGGAAAGGATACCTTGAGGTGATCTCTGCTGACAGGTTCTGGCGTGACCAGGGCTCTGGATTTGGGCATGCAGTTCCTGACCTTCAGGCAGGAAAATGCCTTTGAGGGGGAATCCGGGGTGCAAAGGGAAGCAAAACGGGACGGCTGCTTCCTCTCTCCCCTTCCCCTCCTGCAAGGACCCTCCCTTCCCTGCAATGCCCTGGGCTCGCGTTTGGGGAGGGGGGAAATGCTGAAGGAAGCCCCCAAAGGCAGGAGAGAGGCAGGCAGGTGCTTTTCCTGCTCCCCTCAAACCCAGCAGTCAGATAATCGGCAGCCCCCTTTCCCCCCCCCCCACTTTTGTGGAAGGGTTCCGGGCTTCTCCTTGGACCCAGAGCGACTTCGGGTGCCAGGCGGGTGGGATTTGGATGCTGTCCACCCCCACCTTCTCTCTCTGGGCCTCTTTCAAATGCTGCCATATGGCACTGTATTTGGAGTGCCAAGAAAACGGTCCCTCGCCCCACCCCGTGGGAAGTGCTGGCTTCGGCGGATGCCAGCCGGCTCCCGTTCTGCTCTGGCAGCTTCAAAGCAAAACGGGATTTGCAAAAGCGGAGGAGCTCCTGCGCCCGCCCAACTGGAGCCGGAGGGGCAGCCCAGCTGAGGAAGAGCCGGGGCAGCGTCCAGACGGAGAGAGGCCCTGGTTCCCGGGCCTTGGACAGCAAGAGTAAGAATAAGAGGAGCCTCCTCTGCTCTTCAAGGGGAGGCTTGGACCCGCTCAAAGCGGGCTGGATAGACACCGTTTTTGTGTCCCAGAAATAGAAGGCCTGGCTGGTCTTTGCCCGAGACCCATTGTCCCCGTGGCTCAAACGATCTTTAGAATGGATTGGGTGGTTTTTAACCTTGGGCCCTGGTGATAGACGGCTCCATCTGCTGCCAAGGCCCACTTCACCCCATCAGAGGCAGAAACTTTGGGGTGTGGAGGAGCCGGGGGAGGAAGGGAAAGGAGGCCACCAGAGGGGGGGGGGGAGCTGGGAAGCCATGGAGCCATTCAGCACTTCTTCACTTTCTCCAAAAGTTCTTGCTTTCCTGTCCGTCCCTTGTTCCCCCCGTGGGAGGTGGGCAGTGGGGGCCGTCCTTTGAGCAGGTGGAAAGTGCCCCCTTGCTCGAACAGAGTCCTGCCCAGCGAGGGGGTCCACCCAGCTTTGCACAGGCTCCTAGCAGCTGCTCCTGTTCTGTCTGGCAGCCTCAGTCCTGGACCTGGAGTGAGGCTGGTGGAGCTGCCTGCGTGGTCCAGAATGTCCTGTGCTCTTTGCACACCACCGAAGGGGAGGGTTCCATTCCTGGTCATCCCAGTTCAGAGGTTCTCCGGTCCTATTCCCTTCGCTTCAGGTAGCCAGCCAGGAGGAGAGTCAGGCAGGGCACGAGGCAGGGATGAATTTCCCTCCACTCCCTGAGCCGCTTTGCCATTTTCAAACACCACTAAGATTCGCCCACCGGGGCCTGATTGCTGCCTATATCTGCATTTCGGCCTTTGACGTGGCTGGTGGGTAGCTGTGGCTGGCTGGCAGCCACCCCTCAGCCAGCAGATCCCCATCCGGCAGCCCGGTTGGTCCCGGTGTGCCCCCACCTGCTGGCACCAACCCCCCAGTCATGGGGATTGGGAGCGGCATCCCCTTGGCCAGAGTTGCAGGCCAGTGGGCGGAGGCTGCGTGGCAGATGGGCATCGTTCCTCCGCTCGCAGGTGAAGGCTCCCACGGCAGATGGGCTGCCGTCTCTGCAGGCACAGGGCTCCGTGCCGAGGCCCCAAAATAGTTGCTGCGAGAACACTCGAGGCGCCAGATCGCTTCCCTGTTCGGCTTCAAGCTGCAGCGCCCGGCACAAAATTAGCAACTTCGGAACGGAAGGAGAATTCCTCCTCCTCCTCCTCCTCCTCCTTCCCTCTCCTGCACGGCTGAGCCCCAAGAACAGCCCCCAGCCTTCGTATGGGGGGGTCTGTTTTTCACTCCCCTCCTCACCCCTTTCCAGGCCCTGAATGACGACGCAACGTGAGGCTTCCCCTTTGAACCAGACCTTCCCCCGGGGAGCCTCTGTCCAGGTGTCCTTTGGGTGGTCCTCAGCAGGAGACGAAGGGTTGGGAGTCCCATACAGGAAGCTCCCTTCGTGCATCCCAGCCATACCAGGATGGCTGCTTCCTCCACAAGTAACGTGTGGATGCATTTCTAGGGTTCGAAGTAGGGAAGGATGGGAAGGGAGGCATTTCAGTCCGATTGAAAGGGACTTGGCAGGCAGAGCCTGAAAGCTGTGCTAACTCCAACTCTTTGGTTGAGGGGGAATCCCCCCCTCCTCCAGGTCAGGGCATTGCTTTCCGTGGGGACCCCACAGCCAAAGGAGAGGATTCCCGAGCCCCCCACCCCCTCAAGCTGGCCCGGGATTGGAAGCCACCTTGTGCAAAGGGAAGGCTGGGTCACGTTTCCACCTGGTGCTTCTGCAAACTTCCCAGGAAAGTCCGGCCTCTGGCTCAGCTGAGGAGCATCTTCTGGGCACAAGGGCAGCATCAGACGGAGGATCCTCTCCCAGCAAGGCAACGTTACGCCCCAGTGTGTAAAATGTTGGTGCTAGCCTCAGAGCGCGCTTGCTCTGAATGTCCCTTTCTCATGGATGCCTGCAGACCTGAAAAGAGGCTCCACAGTTCTCGGCCCCCTTCCGCAGACAGCCCTGCTTGCCAGACCTTCGTCTTCAAGGCAGCCGACCCACAAAAAGGACCCACTAAATGGGGCACCTTCTTTGGCAGCAGGAGCTGACCCAATTCTTCATATTCTTCGTCTAGAGGAAGGGGAGGCGGCTCAATCTTGTCCTGGGGTGGGACGCCTGCAAGCCAACCTATTTTAGCGTCTCCTGATACGTTTTGAATCTTCGGGGAAATTCTCAAAATAGGCCATGACAGTAAAGTGTGTTTTTCAGAATGCAAGTTTACCTGTTTCTCAGCCTGAGCTGCCCTCTCCACACTTTCAGCCAAGCCTTATGGGTTGGGTAGCTGTTCAGAAGCCTGCACTCTTAGATGAAGCTCTCGGTAGACAGAAGGTAGGAAGGGGGATAGAATCAGATGGAGGGCTGTTCTGTATGGCTTCCCTTTGCGCAAAATATCTTGGCTTGTATTGAAGCGATATCCTCGGGATGTGCAGCTCGATAAATGCAGGATTGATGTGGCAAGGAAGAGAAGAAGCTTCTTCTTCATCCGTGGGCCAAAGGGCAAAGCCCAGGCTGATTTGGCACGAAGGCTGCCAGCTGCTTACCTCTAGCTCTGTAATGTTAGGATAACGGGCGAGCACCTCAGTGCGGCCATCAGCAGGACTTTCACCGAGGAATGGTCAACCCCTGAGCCTGCTTGTAGATTAGAGTTGGTCATCTGCCATCTGCCAAGGTAGAAACTCCTTGGGTTGGCTTTGTTCCGCCCAGCCTGGCTGTTTCTGAGAATTTCTAAGGGTTTCGGCCCTGGAAGTAAAAATTCTGTATCCAATTGGACCTCCTCACAGAGACCATAAAGCAGGGCTCCCCAAACTTGGCCACTTTAAGACTGGTGGACTTCAACTCCCAGAATTCTCCAGCCAGCATAACTTACTCTCTTGCAATCCCTTCCTCTGCAATCTCTCCACTTCGATCAGAGGTCTTCAAACTTGGCCACTAAGACTGGTGGACTTCAACTCCCAGAATTCTCCAGCCAGCAATGCTATGCATAGCTATGCTATGCTGGCTGGAGAATTCTGGGAGTTGAAGTCCACCAGTCTTAGTGGCCAAGTTTGAAGACCTCTGATCGAAGTGGAGAGATTGCAGAGGAAGGGATTGCAAGAGAGTAAGTTATGCTGGCTGGAGAATTCTGGGAGTTGAAGTCCACCAGTCTTAGTGGCCAAGTTTGAAGACCTCTGATCTAAGTGGAGAGATTGCAGAGGAAGGGATTGCAAGAGAGTAAGTTATGCTGGCTGGAGAATTCTGGGAGTTGAAGTCCACCAGTCTTAGTGGCCAAGTTTGAAGACCTCTGATCTAAGTGGAGAGATTGCAGAGGAAGGGATTGCAAGAGAGTAAGTTATGCTGGCTGGAGAATTCTGGGAGTTGAAGTCCACCAGT